ATCCATTATTATACCACTACATAAAGCATGAGACAATCTACTTACTTCATGCAAGGCAGCCATCCATCTATAATATCTTTCCATACATTAGTAGTGTGATTGTGCAAATCATGATATTCAAAAAATGGCCTAAAGAGAAATAAAGAAAAGAGATATAGTTGATGTACCATGCATACATGTATATACATGCAACTATCATCACACATTTATGCACAATGTATACAAATACATTAATTAGTTGAGGTTATAGATGATCTAGTTCTAGCATAATCATGCAGGCTATAGGTGACTGTATAGTAAAGGCTGTAGCATCTAATGGTAAGATTAACTTTTTGGTCTCAAGTTTCTTGACTTTTGTTATCATGAAACTTTACAAATCTCAAACCTATACAGGATAAACTGCAATGAACAGGAAATGATAAATTTGAGTCACATGGTTATACCCATGTCTTTTCATTTGGCTATACTTACATCTTTGTTTACACAGTACCCACAAAAGCATATCTACTACTGGCAGGATATTCATTATGAAAGATGCTATTGGACATCTAATCCTATACTGAGGAGCAAACAATATGGGCCATTTGAATGCCAAGCACTAGTTCCTCTAATGGTATACCTATGGTATAAGATAGTAAGCTGTTTTTGCTCTACAGTCCATCACAGTCTACAGTTTGATTATTGAGTATATTATTATCAATATAATATATATCCAGTACAATAATGAAGATTGCTGTCCTTCTTGTCATTAGCTGCTTCATTGCTGCTGCTTACAGTGAGAGTCTAAGTAAGTTATCATTATTACTGTCTATTAAACAAGTAATGGCATACATTTATCAAAAGGACTTCCACCTCGACCTCCAAAGCATGGAAAAGATAACTTTGGTAGGTACATAGATCAATTCATTGTCAATAATTATTTAATTTATTATTTTTTTGTAGATTTTGTCCCAATGGATGCTGAAGTTGAATCAAGTGAGTTAAGAAAAGAACAGTAAATGTTATAGTATTAAAATTTAGTTGCTTTTTTAATTATAATGTTAATAGCCAACATAGTTACACTGTTTTTGCATCATTTTTTACAGAAATTGGTGAAATGATTGAAAATGAAGATGAAACCGCCGGTAAACATTAATTAACTAATTTAATTGTCTCCCCTTTTTGCTGCAGCCAATATGTTATATCATTATCTTCATGTAAATGTTTTGTAGAAGTTGAAGAGACTGGTCGATACTTTTGGTCAGATTACTGTAGGTGCTACAAGTACAGGGGCCATAGGAGGCGCTGTCGCATCTTCCGTTACATAATCAGGTGTTATGCATATGGTAGAAAACTATGCCTCTGTCGTAAGAGGTATTGAACCTACGGGATCCAAATGAACTCGACTAACAATATTGAACTCATCATTATTAAGCTGCTCTAAGCCTTTTTTGTATAATTATGTTCAAGATTAAAAGTTATTAAAATAAAAAAGTTTTGATGCTTATTATTATTAATTATTAATAAGTTTTAGAAGGCAAAAGTTGTTTTTAAAAATTTTATTTAATTCTAAAAATAAACAACCATTAGAGCTATTAAAGAGAGCAACAGTCCATAGCAACGGTGCAGTATAAACATCATATATTACTTCATGTATGGTCAGTATTGTGATACTGCCAGCCCACTCTTGCTGTATAATATAATATCTGTTTAACATTGCACAATTCAGCACAAATTGTAAATCATATTGAACATCAATTATTGAATCAGCCCACAGTTACAAATCTCAGCTATATTATAATAAAAAATAATTGAAATAGCATAATTAATTATATCTTCTACAGTTATTATTAGACTATACAACATGTACTTACTTAATATGTCAAAAATGTTATTGAGTTTCATTCCAATTGTTGATGCAGATATCATATTTTCCTCATATCTGTCTACTCTTCCAATCTCTCCTTAAGTACATGAATCTCATTCATACTACAATTTCTGAAAAAATCCCTGTACTATAGTCCATGGTTTTTCCAAAAAATGGCTCCAAAGTCATCCCAAATTTTATTACAATGTCTGATACATATAGATGTCTTAATCCTGTGTAGAAAGTTTGAGCTAATTCCAATTTCAATTTTTGAGTTATGATTATTTTTTTTAATTGGCCAAAATCTGAAAAGATGACTCCAAAATTACCCTGAATTTTTATTAGATTTTCTGATACACATTGATGTCCTTATGCTAGATCTATCTAGCAAGTTTGAGCTGATTCTGACTAAAACTTTTTGAATTATGACTATTGGTTACCCAAAATCTATTAAATAAAAATAAATAAATAAATGAAATAAATAATACATTTTCATTTGGCTATGCTTAGATCTACATCTTTGTCTACAGTACACATAAAAGTATATCTACTACTGGCAGGATATTCATTATGAAAGATACTATTGGACATCTAATCCTATTGTTAGTATTGGACTAACAATTGACTATTATTATGATACTGAACAACAACAACAATTGAAGGAAGTATGTATATCATTGTTCCATTGTTATTATCTTACACTAACAATTGATGGAGAGATAGTCATCTGAAAGTAAATGAATGCCAAGCACTAGTTTCTCTAATGGTATACCTATGGTATAAAAGTAAGCTGTTCTTGCTCTACAGTCCATCACAGTCTACAGTTTGATTATTGAGTATATTATTATCAATAATATATATATCCAGTACAATAATGAAGATTGCTGTCCTTCTTGTCATTAGCTGCTTCATTGCTGCAGCTTACAGTGAAAGTATACGTAAGTTATCATTATTACTGTCTATTAAACAATTAATGGCATACATTTATCTTATAGAAGCTCCACAGATTGAAGATGATGATGAAAACACTGGTAATTATCTTCATTTTTTAATGATTACTTTATTATTTTTTTGTAGATTTGGCCTCAATGGATACTGAAGTTGAAGCAAGTGAGTTATCAAAAAAATACTGAAGCTGTGCTATTAAAATTAAGCTATTGAGTAGTGATAAATCCTCATTATTTAACAGCCAACATTATATTATCATTTTTTAATAGAGTTTGATGAAATGATGGAAAATGAAGATGATGAAACTGCTCTTGATGGTAATTATTAATAGTTTAATTGTTCCTTTTGTGACAATCAATGTTTTATTATTATTTTCATGTACATGCTTTTTAGAAGCTGAAAGCCGCCCCCGATGGTTTTATGCTAGTTATTGTAGATGCCGCTTCCGTCGTCAACGTTGCCGCAGGCTAAGACGTAATCAGATCCGTTGTAGAGGACCTCGTAGATCTAGAGAATGCCGTTGCCTTAGGACAAGGCGTTAAGCAAGCAGTAAATGCTTGCCTGCTAATGGACCGGACTAATAACATTGAACTCATAATTATTAAGCTGCTTTAGGCCTTTTTTGCTTTAATAATTACATATTTTCAGGTTTTTTTGCTATAATTATATATTTTCAGGTCCTTTTCTGCTAAAATACATTTCATTCAATTCTAAATGTGAACAAACAAAAAGGTATACCTTAAAAGCAACAGTCTACAGCATTGTACAGTGTTAGCATCATATCTTAATTCATGTATTGTGATACCTCCAGCCCCCTCTATAGTATTTGATTTCTAATTCTACATGTAACATTGTGTGGGCCATTAGATTTCAATCAATATGTATTATGTCATTATTATTACAATTATTTGCGTGGGTGTTGATCAAACATTTTGAGCTAGTAAAGGAGATTGTTCATTTATTCATTCATTGTGATTCAAAGATCATTGAGAGTAGATCTGTCTTTACTGAGCATATGGTTTTTGGGGAGTTTAGACATACTATCAAAGAGTCAGTAAGTTTTGCACTATTTCATAAACATCAATTTGCACAGTTTACAAATATGCTTATAGAATCTACACATTAAAAAGAAAAACTAAAATAGGATGATTAATACTAACTTATTAGATTATATTCACTTACTTTATGTCAGGAACATTGCCTTGTATTCCTCTTGAGTTTGATTCCAAATGTTGATGTAGATCCTTTTTTTCAGATCTGTCAGCTCTTTGACCAGTTTCTTCTTAGTATATATGTATATATATATATATATATATAGATGCCTCATTCATACTACAATTTATGAAGAAATCCCTGTACTATAGCCCATGATTAAAAAAAAAATGGCTCCAAAATCATCCCAAATTTATTACATTTTCTAATCCTCATTGATGTACTTGTGCTACGTATAGCAAGTTTGAGCTGATTCTGACTAAAACTTTTTGCATTATGACTATTGTTTATCCATGTGTTTCCATTTGGCTATACTTACATCTTTGTTTACAGACGGTACCCATAAAAGCATATCTACTACTGGCAGGATATTCATTATGAAAGATACTATTGGACATCTGATCCTATTGATAATACTGGACTTTCAATTGACTATATTGTTATGATACTGAACAACAACCACAATTGATGGAGAGATAGCCATCTGAAAGTAAATGAATGCCAAGCACTAGTTCCTCAAATGGTATACCTATGGTATAAAAGTAAGCTGTTCTTGCTCTACAGTCCATCACAGTCTACAGTTTGATTATTGAGTATATTAATTATTATCAATATAATATATACATCCAGTACAATAATGAAGATTGCTGTCCTTCTTGTCATTAGCTGCTTCATTGCTGCTGCTTACAGTGAGAGTCTAAGTAAGTTATCATTATTATTGTCTATTGAACAATTAATGACATACATTTATCTTATAGAAGCTCCACAGATTGAAGATGATGATGCTGGTAAATATCTTAATTTTAAAATAATAACTTTATTAATTATTATTATTTTTGTAGATTTGGCCTTAATGGATACTGAGGTTGAACCAAGTGAGTTATCGAAAAATACCAAAGCTGTGCTATTAAAATTAAGCTATTAAGTAGTTATAAATCCTTTTAATTTAACAGTCAACATTACATCATAATTTTTTAATAGGCTATGGTGAAATGATGGAAAATGAAGATGAAAATGCCGGTAATTATTAATTAACTAGTTCAATTGTTCCTTTTGTGACAATCAATGTTTTCTTATTATTTCCATGTGCATGTTTTTTTTTTCAGAAGTTGAAGGCCGCCGCCGATGGTTTTATGCTGATTATTGTAGATGCTATTACCGTCGTCAACGTTGCCGCTTTCCTGATAATCAGGTCATCTGCAGAGCACCTCATCGTAGAAGAGCCTGCCGTTGCCGTAGGACGCGTTAAACTAGCAGTAAATGCTTGCCTGCTAATGGACTGGACTTATAATATTGAACTCATAGTTATTAAGCTGCTTTAGGCCTTTTTTGCTTTAATAATGACATATTTTCAGGCCATTTTTTGCTAAACTGAATTTCATTCAATTCTAAATAATAATAAACAAACAAAAAGGTGTACCTTAAAAGCAACAGTCCTCAGCAATGTACAGTGTAAACATCATATCTTAATTGATATTATAGTCAGTATTGTGGTAACTCCTCATGCTGTAGTGGATCTTCTTTATATGTGATTTCCACTTCCATACTATCACTGAGTCATGCACTATTATATTTCATAAATCATCTTGAACACATCAATTGAATCAGTGCATGGTTTATAAGTACACTACACCTATAGCTATAAAAAGAATAACAAAAATGGGATAATTAATACTTTTTAAAATACTATCTTATTAGACTAGTCTATATTTGCTTACTTTAAGTTGAGAACATTGCCTTGTATTCGATCATCTTGAGTTTGCTTCCAATTGTTTATGTAGTTCTCCTCATAGATATCTGTTTGCTCTCCTAGTTACTATCTTTGTAAATGACAATAAAAATACAAATGTAAGCTGAATCACTCATTCATAATACAATAAGGACAAGTAAAATAACATAATTATTAATAATAATTATTATCTACTAAACTATTTTAACTATAATAGCCTCCAATGGTGGGAGTTTCTTGGGTAACTTTCTAATTTCGAGCTCGGATGCACCTGGAATACGTATATAAATTACATAAACTATGGATCTACTTATAAAGAGATAATCTAAAAAATTTTTATACCTGTCTCCTTTCCTTCATCATTTCTTTTAAGTTTCAGTTTCTGCTGCTCTCGATCTCTTAACAATTCCTTATTGTACCTACTGTAGCTGATTCAAAATTTTAGACTAAAACTATTCAAATTATGACCATTGGTATATATATGTTTCCATTTGGCAATACATACATCTTTGTCTACAGTACCCACAAAAGCATATCTACTACTGGCAGGATATTCATTATGAAAGATACTATTGGACATCTGATCCTATTGTTAGTGATGAATTAACAATTGAATCTTAAAGGCTATTGTAATAGTATTTAATAACAACAACAATTGAAGGAATCATTGTTCTATTGTTGTTGTCCTACACTAACAATTGATGGAGAGATAGCCATCCTGAAAGTAAATGAATGCCAAGCACTAGTTTCTCTCATGATATACCTATGGTATAAAAGTAAGCTGTTCTTGCTCTACAGTCCATCACAGTCTACAGTTTGATTATTGAGTATATTATTATCAATAATATATATATCCTGTACAATAATGAAGATTGCTGTCCTTCTTGTCATTAGCTGCTTCATTGCTGCTGCTTACAGTGAGAGTATAAGTAAGTTATCATTATTATTGTCTATTACACAATTAATGACATACATTTAGAGTCAAAAGGACCTCCACCTCAACCTCCAAAGGATGAAAAAGATAGCTTTGGTAAGTATATAGATCAATTTATTGAATTTATTTTTAGTGAGAGTATAAGTAAGTTATCATTATTACTGTCTATTACACAATTAATGACATACAATTATCTTATAGAAGCTCCACAGTTTGAAGATGATGATGATAACACTGGTAATTATCTTCATTTTTAAATATTTACTTTATTTATTATTATTTTTGTAGATTTGTCTGCAATGGATGCTGAACCTGAATCAAGTGAGATATTAAAAATAGCACTGAAAGCTGTGCCATTAAAATTAACTTTTTAAACTTAACAGTCAACATTAATTATCATTTTCTTATTAGAATTTGATGAAATGACAATAAATGAAGATATATGTAAAACCACTGGTAAACATTAATTAATTAATTTAATTGTCTCTTTTGCTGCAATCAATATAATTATCTCCATGTACATGTTTTTGTAGAAGTTCAAGGGACTAGCCGATATTTTTGGACTGATTACTGCAGGTGCAAAAGATACATTCATGGTAGGTGTCGCTGTCGTGTCTACCGTTACAGAATCGTATGTTCTGCCCCTCGTAAAAATATATGCTACTGTCGTTTGAGGTGCTAAACCTGCAGTTGGACTAGACTACTGAACTCATATTAATTAAGCTCCTTTAGGCCTTTTTTGCTATAATTATTATTATTACATATTGTCAGGTATTTTTGCTATAATTATATATTTTCAGGCCCTTTTTTGCTAAAATAAATTTCATTCAATTTTAAATAATTATAAGAGCACTAACAGTGGTACAGCAACATGCAGTGTCAATAATATCATGTCTTACTTCATATATAGTCAGTACTGTGATAACTTCTCTTGCTGTAGTGGATCTTCTTTATATCTGATTTCCAATTCCATACTATCACTGAGTCTTCCCCTATTATAAATCATCTTGAACACATCAATTGAATCAGTGCATGGTTTTACAAGTACATCTATAGCTACATAATAAAAAGGATATCTAAAATGAGATAATTAATATACCATCTTCTACTATTATTAGACTATATTTACTTACTTTATGTTAGGAACATTGTCTTGTAATCCTTATGAGTTTGATTCCAGTTGTTGATATAGTTCTCTTCCTAGCTGTCTGCCCTCCTTAATTACTATTAATGTCTTTATGAATGACAATAAAAATAAACTACAGCAGATGCATCATTCTTCATGCTAGATACATGCACTGACTGTCAGAACTAAAATTGTACCTTTAACTGCAGTCTGTATATATAATACATTAAATGTTGGTCTACAATAATCAGTTCAGTTCTGGTATTCAGTGAATTAATGTGTGTCAATAAGTACCTGGGCTACTGTTAGTAATAATACATTATCTTTGAAATAATGACAAGTAAAATAACATAATATTATTATTAATAATAATTACTATCTGCTACGCTATTTTAACTATATAGCTTGCAATGGCGGGAGTTTCTCTGGTAACTTTCCAGCCTCAAGTTCGTGGACTTTGTTACGAAGTTTTCCAATTTCAAACTTTTGCAGTTCCAGTACTCTAGTCTGATCTGCAGCCTCCATACGTCCGATACCCCCGGAAGGAGGCGGGGCTCTTATGCCAGAGAGAACTGCTTGATCATCAAACCCGTTCTTCCTTGCTATTTTGAGAGCAGCTTCAAAATCATGAGCAATTGAGCGAGAGGTCTTCAACTCTCGTCTCAGGTCATTGATCTCTTTTAATAGAGACACATTTTCCTTAAAAAAATAATCATAAATTCAGGATTATAATTATCATTATTATTATTACCTGCATAACTCTGACTGTGTCAGATCTATGTATTTCAGAGTCTTTGGTGAGTTTCTTTCTCAAGGAAGCAACTGTTCTTTCCATGTGCTCTCTCTGTCTGGCATATTCTTTATGGAGATCTTTTTCACCAGTAACATCAACATGAGTAGCAGACTGAGGAGAGAGAGAGGAAGGGGAAAGAAAGAGAGAGAGAGAGATACATGTATGTACATGTAAATCAGAGTATATCCATTAATAAACGTTTTATGTACACATCATACCTCATCGTAATTCTTCAAGTATCTTTTGTAAAGGTCTTTGATTTCTTCCTTGAGGACTTTGGGTTCTTGAATGTGACGAGTTGTCCCGTGAAGGCTACACTTGAAATTTTCTATCTCAACTTTTAAGTCGTGTACCTGACATAAAACTATAAAGAGGTAGGTTTTCTTTAATTTTTATACCTGTCTCCTTTCTTTCATCATTTCTTTTGTGGTAGCTTCAAGTTTTAATTTCTGCTGTTCTCTTTCTCTTAATAATTCCTTATTGTATCTGCTGTAGTCACTGAGCTCTATCTCCATCTATTAGGAAGAGCAACTGGTCAGTTTCTGAAAAATACCCAAGGCTATAGCCCATGGTTTTTTCCAAAAAATGGCTCCGAAATCACCCCCAATTTTTATTACATTTTCTGATACATATTGATGTCCTTATGCTGTGTAGCAAGTTTGAGCTGATTCCGACTTCAATTTTTCAAGTTATAGTCATTTTAAGAAAATGGCAAAAATCTGAAAAGTACCCAAGGCTATAGCCCATGGTTTTTTCCAAAAAATGGCTCCAAAATCACTCCAAATTTTTATTACATTTTCTGATACATATTGATGTCCTTATGCTGTGTAGCAAGTTTGAGCTGATTCCGACTTCAATTTTTCAAGTCACGGCCATTTTAAGAAAACATCAAAAATCTGAAAATTACCCAAGGCTATATAGCCCATGGGTTTTTTCAAAAAATGGCTCCGAAATCACCCCAAATTTTCATTACATTTTTTGATACATATCGATGTCCTTATGCTGTGTAGCAAGTTTGAGCTGATTCCAACTTCAATTTTTCAAGTTACGGCCATTTTAAGAAAGCGCCAAAATTCTGAAAAAATCACTGTACTATAGTACAGTGATTTTTTCAGAATTTTGGCTCTGAAATGATCCCAAATTTTTATTACATTTTCTAAGACATACTTTGCTTATTTGTTCCTTTTTGCTTCTTATCTCATTCTCTCTCGGCTCCATTTGCTTTCTCAGCTCCTTTATCTTGTAATCCAATACAAACTTAAACTTCTCCAGCTCCTGGTTTTTCTTCTTTAAATCATAAATGCGCTTTTCCTAAAAGAAAAGACAAATAATGTCTAAATGTACATAAATAATATATTTTGTACTAATAGTAGGAAAATTGGTGGAGCTTTATTTTTTACAATTTAGCGATTCTACACTTACTTTATCATTAATGGTGTCATCTCTCTCTTGTATTTCTTTCTTCATTCCTTCAATGTCGTTCCTTAGTGAGTTGATGATTCCTTCTCTCTTCTTCACCTCTTGCTTTAACTGGTTGATGCTGCCCTTCAGTTCATTAATCTCACCTTGAAGACTGTCTACCTATAATGAGTATAAGGAAGAGTAAATAATAATGGGGTGGGGTTTATTTACTCTTGGTATAAGTACATGTAAATGGACAAGAAAAGCAACAGAATATGGTATACATGTACATGTACAATGTATTAATATAGGTTATACAACCAGATAAAATAATAATAATAATAATAATAATAATAATAATAATAATAATAATGATATAATAATTATTGTTTTGGTTTTAGTTTATAATAATAGTTAGTTTTAATTTGTTTGTTTTGACTTGTTCATTAAAAAAAAATAATAATACCTTTTTCTTCAATATTCCAGTATCTCCTCTCAGTTTAAGGTTCTCATCACACTGTTCATGGAGTTGTCTCTCATAATGATTCTTCAGTGCTAGTATTTCTTGGTCTGTGTCCTCCTCCATCTGTCGCTGGATCTCTTCAGCCTCCCTTTGCTGCTTCCGGAGATCATCAGCACCCTAAAGAAAGAGAAGAAGGCACTGAACATTTGAGGAAGAATCATTGTACTATATATACCGTATAGCAGGAAATCTTGGAGGGGCTAAAATTTGGCAAATTGCTAAATTTTAGTGATTGGTGGATTTTAATTTGGCGAATTAGTGGCCACGTGCCATTGAGCATGTGTGTAATGGCTCAAAATGATGGATTTTATTTTGGCAAATGGCTATCAAAATGCCAAATCTGCCAAAGTTAATCCCCTCTAAAATTTCCCACTATACGGTACTGTACACTGTACATACTTTGTCTAGCATGATTCCTTTCTCGTGCAGTTTCCTTTCATAGTGCTCCGTTAGTTCCTGCAGTGCTTTCTCTCTTGCGTCCTCCATTTCTTGCAGCTGTCTCTCGTAGTCTTCCTGGAGTCTCTGGCTCCTCGCCTGTAGCTCTTGATACTTCTCATACTCTCCCATCAGCTTCGTATTAGTAGTAGTCTCTATAATGTACAATAATAATAATAACAACAACAACAACAATAATGATAATTTATAATCGTATTGTGATATTCTAGTTACAGTCATTAATATATTATGTGAATTGGAATTAATAACAACAACAATAATAACAACAACAATAATAACAACAACAACAATAACAATAATAATTTATAATCATTCTAGTTACAGTCATTAATATATTAATTAATATTAATCAATTAATTAATATTGGTCCTAATAAGCTGTAACTATGAGAGGCATTGCTGCCTATGAATAGCATTTTAACCCTCTCCCTCCCTTTCCCTCTGTATCAGTCCAGTACAATAATGAAGATTGCTGTCCTTCTTGTCATTAGCTGCTTCATTGCTGCAGCTTACAGTGAGAGTATAAGTAAGTTATCATCATCATCATCATTATTATTATTATTATTATTATTTAATACAATACATCTATTCTATAATACAGGCACTGGTGAGGAGACACTACAAGAGGTCCATGCTGGTTCTATATATGCCACTAGCTGTCAGTGTCCATTAGATCAGTGCACACTAGTAGGTCCAGTGTATCACTGCAAGGCTGAGTGCTGGTGCAGTAGCTCAGACTCCAGGGCTTATAGACCTCATCACTGTGAGTGCCTTAAGGAATACTGCACTGGAGATAGAGCTAGCAATACACTGGAGTGTAGAGGGACACCAGCTTGTAAATGTACTGTTACTACTAGTGCTGACTGACTGACTGAATGAATAATTATATATATAAGATATTCTATGGAGAATAGGGAACTGTAGTATCTATCATGTATCATTATTATTATTAGTTTATTATTGTAGTTTAGTTTAATATAACAGTGTCTTTATTATTATTTTAATGAAATTTGGCACAACTTCAATATTTTGATTATAAATTCATGTACATGTACATGAATCATTGTCAAAAGAAATGAATTCAAAAGATACTTCTTAATTAAAATTAATTAATCATAATTATTTAATTTATCTCATTAATGCTTGTTTGGGTTGGCAGTTGCATGTATCCATAACATGCAATAAAATATCAAAAACATCAAAAATAATTAACTAAAAATAACTCACAACTACACGTACATGTACATGTATTATAGCTGACTTAACACTCTCTGATTCTCTCTCTCTCTCTCTCTCTCAGTCTCCAGCAAATAGGATCAATATATCCAGTACAATAATGAAGATTGCTGTCCTTCTTGTCATTAGCTGCTTCATTGCTGCAGCTTACAGTGAGAGTCTAAGTAAGTTATCAAGATAGACACAAGCCTACATTATTATTATTAACAATATGCAATGCTGATATCCATGCAGTGTATAAATCATTGGTTCATTAGATACTGGTGAGGAGCTAAAGGACAAGGCTAGCATTACAGATAATCGGCATCAGTTTATCTATCCTGATTCATGCCAGTGTCAGCCATGTGCTATATTGAAAGAGAAGAAGGAAGCACGTTGTACTGGGGACCAAGTCTGCAAGTGTTGGATATTAGCCACTTCAGCTTATGAGTATTATGACTACTGCAAATGTCAACTGGATAAGTGCGACTGTGGAGTTGATCTGTGTACCAAGATATCTGATTCCATTGATTGTAATGGAGATGGGTCTTGCATGTGTAAGGTTAAATAATAATGAGAGGGATACTTTCAGGAATTTGTATTATACAATTATAATTAGAAGTTACTATCAATTTGTAGTAGAATTTTCGCTGTTATTATTATTATTATTATTATTATTATTATTATTATTATTATTATCATTATTACTATTATTACTAATTTGTAGTTTTCAAAATTTAAGGATTCAATGTCACTTTTAACTGTAATTTATTATAGCGGATTTAGCAAAGATTAAGCTAATTATTAGTGCCACCACATGTACATGCATATTATACATGTAAAATACATGAATAATAATAATAATGTTGCTATGCTATTAATGACTGACCTCTCTCCTGTACTTCCCTTGAGTGTGATTCCAATTGTTGATGAATCTCTTCCTCATATCTGCTCTCTAGTCTCTCTTTATCAGTCTTTAAATTCTATTTTAAAAAGAGACAGTTGACATGTACACATGTACAGGGTGCATGTATGTACTTCATTCTTGGCTTTAAGTGCTTCAATCTCTTGTATGAACTTATCTGTGAGGTCCTTGATCTTCTCATTGTAGTTCATGTCCTTCAGTCTTAGCTGGTACTCATTCTCCATCTTCAGTTCTTCAACTCGAGTACGTAGTTCAGACATTGTCGTATTCTATGGACACATTTTAGTAATTACATTAATTATTATTAACAAATTTGAATCAATTAAAGTCAAACTTTTCTCATAATAAACATGTCCCAAGACCAATGACCAGTGACCAGTGACCAATGATCAATGACCAGTGACCAGTGACCAATGACCTTACATATGCCCATTATACACCATAGTATGGTATGCATGTACTTTACCTTTTCCTCAAGGTCAGAGCGTGTTATTAATATTTCCTCGGCATAGTTTGAGTCTCTCTCTCTCTTCAACATTCGTCCTTCTTTATCAATGATCCTGAAACTGAATATGGTACCATCTTCTCCAACTGATATTAGGAACTGATCATCATATGATATACACATCTGGGGAGAGGGAGAGGGAGAGAGAAAGAATATAGAAGTAACATTTTACATGTACATAATAATGTAAAATGATAATATTAAATAAATAATAATAATACTTAAATAATAATAATAAAGTATACTGTATGGTCTAACCCTGGCCACAGGAGCAGAGTGTGCCTGGTGCTCATGCCATTCTCCTGGTTCAACTAACGGGAACTTCACTGACTGTATGGTACCATTGGTAGTGCCAACAAACAGCATCTTCCCTGAGTGAGAGAGAACCACTTGAGTTAGGACTGCATCACCTGAACTCATCTGTCTAACTACCTATTGATAATAATAATAATAATAATAATAATAATAATAATAATAATAATAATAATTAATAACATGGTCGTAGTATTCATGTATAAGTATTTTCATTAAAATGGTCATAACTTGAAAACTTTTAGTCAGAATCAACTCAAACTTTCTATGCAACATAAGTACATGTATATGTATCAGGAAAAATTATAAAAATAGCAAATTCTCTATTTTTCAATTTTGGCAAAATTTGGCTCGAGACCATGTACTATAGTACAGGGATTTTGAGTCGATTTTGGAGCAACTTTAAAAATTCCTAAAAATCCAAATTTGATCGGAATCAGCTCAAACTTTCTACACAACATAAGTACATGTATACGTATCAGGAAAAATTATAAAAATGGCAGATTCTCTCCTTTTCAATTTTAGCGAAATTGACCCATGACCCTGTACTATAGTACAGGGACTTTGACCCAATTTTGGAGCAACTTTAAAAATCAATTAATACCAATATTCCTAATAACAATAGCTGCTGCCAATACTCAATGACTCACTGTAGCTTCATTGAGGTTGATCTCCTTCAGAGTCCTATCAGACCCAACAGCATAGACGGACTTGAGGTCAGGTGACATGGAGACACTGGTGTAGGCACAGTTCTTGAGGACACACTCCTTCTCTCTCTTAGAGGAGAGGACGTTCCACTCGTAGACTGACCCGTCCATACTGCAAGAGATGAGCCTCGAGTCATCATTGCTCCATATAATACCACGGACCTATGGAAAAGAGGGAGAGAAAGAGAGAAAGAATTCGTTACAGTAGCTGCCATTTTTGCACACGTGATGTCATGTGGTTAAAATGGGCGTGGTTGCGTGGGCGTTCAATTTGAGCCCCACCCCCTGTTGTTTGCATGCAGTTTCAATGCTATTTTTTACCTTTCCACTGTGTCCTTTCAGATTTGCTGTGTTTTCAAAAGAGAATGTTCCATAGACTTGAATGAGGTTGGCATTAGCTGCTGCAAACAGATGACCACCATTACTAAAAGAACACTGTGACAAATAAAACAATAATTAAATATTTTATTATTATTATTATTATTATTATTATTATTATTATTATTATTATTATTATTATTATTATTATTATTATTACTTCTCTGCATCCTCTGATCATGATCTCTTTAAAAGGTCTAATATCATCAATAAGTACATTCATTAGTCTTAGTTTCTCACTGAACCCAACAAGGAGGAACAGTCCACTGGGGTGTATGGCCACACTGTAAGCTTCTTCTTGGAACTCCTTAGCAACATCAAGTGTACTGGAGAGGGAAGAGAAGATGGTGGAAAAAGAGAGACAGAAGAAATATGAAAGTACATGTAATTAAGTTGCACCATTGTAAAACAAAGCAAAGCACACTACAATGCTGTATTCTGGAGTATTAAATTTTTAAATAATGACACATCCATCCATGCAATGTGTATATATAATAAGACTCTGCTGCATTAGTTATACCAGCACTAACTTTGTCTCATAGTTCCATATTCTCACACTCTTGTCCATGGAGCAGGTAGCAATGACTGGTTTCCTCAGGGACACATCAAGGCCAGTAATGGCCCCGTGATGAAAGGATGAAGAAAGATAGTCAAAAGCAGCACCCTGTATTGAAAAATAAGCACAATTACTATAATATCTTGAATTTATTTATTATTTTAAGTTACCTTTCCTAAATCAGCAGCAGAGAGTGTAAGTACATACATCTGTCTTGATCTAGTGTTGCATATCACATTCTCTTCTGCTGGACTAATGGCCATTGATAATATTTCTAAATCAACTCCCTCAGAGCCACAGCCACTGCTGCTACCTGTGGACATTGATATATCAATGATTTGAATCATGATTTCTAGCCTAACCTGCATCAATATCATGCTTAGATTGATCACTACTGATCCCGGTTAATGGATCAACCCAAATGCTAACGGATCTAACTTTCTTGAAGTTATTCTTCTCTTCTGTCTTCTCAAATAAATGGACAGTCCCTGACCCACTGGTACACATGAACCCTTTGGTATAAGAGAGAAGAGAATAGACTGGGAACTGATTAAGAGGAGGAACTATAGAGGGCCTAGTTTGAGGACTAAAGAGAGAAAAGAAAAGAAGTGTTTAGTACATGATATATACACATAATGCACATCGTCTTACGTTGAGGATTTTGATGCATTGCTTGATGGAGTAGCTACAGTTTCAGCTGAGACTATAAACTCATTCTTCAGGTCGCCTCCTTCAAATAGTTGAACTTTCCCTGAGTCTGTCCCGAGGATCAGCCTGTCCTCTGAAAGCCAGGCCTGACAGAGATAGGTCTGTGGCTCTATCTTTGTGAATGCAAACTGTTTGAAGGCTCCTTCTGAGTAGCGATACAACTTAAAGACCTTCTCACCGACTATGCAGACCTGAGTGTTGTCTTGAGGATTGAATGAGACCTACAGAATACAATTTATTAATAGATTATTGTACTTGGAAGACTAGCAGTAGTTCATTTCAAATTGTGTGTATGTATGTGTGTATAATAGTGTTCATTTAAATATCACTATAATCACTTGCTTAATTTCTTTAAAATACATGTACATGTATGTTTCCACTATATTAAACATTAATTTTGTTTGGCCTAAATTTAACATTATCATTTTAATTTAGAATTTTTGCACGTCTCTTGCTAAATTTGCTAAATTCTCATAATTATCAATTACCTGGTTGACTGGGTTGTGCGATACTTTGATATGAGCCATTGGTTTAGCTTTCTCCCAGTGCCAATAGACCAGTGTCCACTCTGGCCCTCCTCCCTGGCCCACCAGGTACTTTGAGTCAGGAGAGAATGCGAGACTAACATACTCTGTTGCAGTCACTTCAGGACAAGTGAGGACTTTACGCTTTCTCATCGAGTGAAGATCAAAGACAGTAACTGTTGGTCTGTCAGGATGCTTTTCAGCCACAGCAGCATAACGTCTGTTGGAACTGACAGCCATTGCTGAAGCTCCTTCCCCTCCTTCCAGATTGAAGGGAAGGAACCTCTGTATCTTTTGGTCTGTGTTGAAAAGGATGAGGTTCCTTCCCGCCGGGTATATGATGGTCTGCTCGTCCACATAGCTGGCATTCTGGCTGACCTCTCCTTTCAGCCCAAAGGAGTAGTTCAACTGAGCTGTAGCTATTGACATTTTCTCAATTCAATCTTCACACAGCACAATTGATTTTTGGTTGTAACCCAGTTGCTATGACTACTCCGTTGTCATGGAAATGATTGATTGAGCATGCGCGGGAGGTTTCTATGGTAACTTTAAGATGGCGGTCGTTTCCATGGAAATTAGTAACTGAGCATGCGCAGTTTTGCCCACGTGTAGTGGTCAGGACATTTTGGAGGTGGGAAAAAGTGTTAAAATCTCTCAGAAGGAGCAGTAGCCATGTCTCGAATGAAGATAGAGGAGGTTAAGAGCACTACCAAAGTGCAAAGAGTAGCAGCTCACAGTCACGTCAAAGGTCTAGGCCTTAATGAAGAGGGCGTGGCCAAACCAGTCTCGTCAGGTCTGGTAGGACAAGAACTAGCCAGAGAAGCTGCTGGAGTAATCACCGACCTCATACGAACCAAGAAAATGGCCGGTCGAGCCGTTCTATTAGCCGGACCCCCAGGGACAGGAAAGACTGCTCTAGCTCTGGCTATTGCACAAGATTTGGGTCCAAAAGTCCCATTTTGTCCGATGGTTGGGAGTGAGGTGTACTCGTCTGAAGTCAAGAAGACCGAGGTTCTCATGGAGAACTTTCGTCGGGCGATCGGTCTCCGTATTAAAGAAACAAAAGAGGTTTACGAGGGAGAGGTGACGGAATTAACACCTTGTGAGACCGAGAACCCGATGGGAGGGTACGGGAAGACCGTCAGTCACGTAGTCATTGGACTTAAGACTTCAAAGGGAACCAAACAACTCAAACTAGACCCGATGATCTACGAGAGCCTCCAAAAAGAGAAAGTCCTTGTTGGCGACGTCATTTATATCGAGTCAAACAGCGGAGCCGTTAAAAGGCAAGGCCGATCGGATACGTACGCTACCGAATTTGATTTAGAAGCAGAAGAGTATGTTCCTTTACCAAAAGGTGACGTTCATAAGAAGAAAGAAGTGGTTCAAGACGTGACGCTTCACGATCTTGATGTTGCTAACGCCCGCCCACAAGGAGGACAAGACATAATGAGTATGATGGGACAACTTCTCAAACCTAAGAAGACGGAAATCACAGACAAGCTACGTAAAGAAATCAACAAGGTCGTTAATCGTTACATTGATCAAGGAGTGGCCGAGCTTATCCCTGGGGTATTATTCATTGATGAAGTCCACATGCTTGATATTGAGTGCTTCACATACCTTCATCGTGCGTTAGAGTCATCGCTAGCTCCCATCGTCATATTCGCTACCAATCGTGGGAACTGTCAAGTCAAAGGTACTGATCTATCAGCTCCTCATGGCATGCCGAGGGATCTACTGGACCGTATTATGATCATACGTACTCTGCCTTACTCTCAGAGTGAGACGGTTCAGATACTCCGTATCCGTTCGCAGACCGAGGGTATTCAAATTAACGACGAGTCTTTGAATATTCTCGGTGATATTGGAGTGAAGACGACACTTCGTTATGCTGTACAGCTCCTAACACCTGCTAGTATACTAGCTCGTATTAATGGGCGTGACTCCATTGCTCCAGAGGATGTGCAGGAGATTAACGAGCTGTTCTTTGATGCAAAGTCTTCGGCAAAGATGCTGGCAGAGCAAGAGGATAAGTACATGAAATAAAGTGAAGGAGAGACTCAATGGTAACTGTTCATTGCATTCACTTATGTAAATAAGTAACTTGAAACATACTGTACATGTACATATATCATGGTAACTAGTATGTAATGTCTAGTCTACTCTTATTATTAATATTATGTGTAATGTATACTATTGTTGACATGCAAAATTAATTTATTATTAATTGTTTATTTAGTTTGTGGGTGTAGCTTGGAGGTGTGGTATCCAGAATCACTGTGAAGTAGTTCTGGTTGTGTATGTACATGTACGTCAGGATGTGTACATGTACATATGATCACCTATGGCATTAAAAGGAAATGATTAACATGCTGCTATAGTTTACTTTTGACTTTGTATGTTGCCAAGAATGGAAAGTATGACATGCAAAACCAAAACAACAACAACAACATATCATGCTGGATATTATCCAATACATGTATGCATGGTTCAGCTCATTTTCATCTAATTGGGTTCTATAGTATTCATATTCTACTACTACTGATCTGATCCTTAATAGATACAGTGCTTGACAGTGCATACTTTGTGGATATACCTGGTTTCACTGAGTCCAAGGAGGCAATTTTTGTAACTTTATATTTAAAAACCATTTTAGTCTTCAGGGGCTCTGGATGATGTTTTTCAGCTCACAACTTCTTGGTGATAGAATGTGTGGGCTTGTGCATAATTCATGCTTTTACCATCACAGGTACAACTCATTTAATGATCTATACCATACTCATAGATACTCTCCACAATGATTGATTATTAGATCTACCACCCACACAATAGAATCTAATTGGTAGGTGTGGTTTATTCGTGAGAGTTGCTCTTTGCTTGCTGCTATTCATTTCTTTCTTTATCATTCCAATCCTTATCTTTCTCTTATGGTATGGATAAGAGCATATTATTTGGTATCACGTGATTCTCTTCCCACAGGCACTATTATATTCCTTATAAGGCATTCAGCAGGTTTACAGTAGATTTATGTTATTGTCAAATTACAAGCTGTCATTAGGTTGTATTACATGTAACTGATCAATAGAGTTACTCTCAATTAAATTACTGCAACATTGTTAATCAATTTAGCAGTTGATTTGCTGCTATGTATCATGTAATGTTATGTCTACTAATTCTTTTTGTTGTTCTCATCATCATCCTTCTTTTTCTTCATATTATATCCAACACCAACAGCAAAAGTTAAACCAGACAGAACTAGTCCAGGTATTCCTATTGTTGCAACTGCAACTAATCCAACTACTCCTACTGCTGCAGCAGCAGCAGCAGCAGCAGCAGCTCCTGCAACAATTGCAACTTGACCTTGGCCAGTCTCTTCTCTTCCAGTAATGGCCCAATTGATTAACGATTCACAATTTGTGAGCACAAAGTCAAATTTATTTTCCCCAATCCTGCTACGAGCACGCCTTATAGCATTTTGACCACGATGAATAGCAACTTCAGGATCATCATACTCCAAAAGCTCAACCCTATCTTCTTGTGGGTCTACGAAAATGTTTTCCTCTTTCACTTTTGCAATGTCAGTGCCGTTTGATAGTGAAAATGAACTTGGCAAGGCTGCAGAAGTAGCAGCTCCCACACTTGCTTGCCTGTACTCAGACTCAGTGTAATGAATGACACGTAGTAGCAATCCATTATTGATGACTTTTATCACCATCATGTGGTGATTATACACCATACGACAGACTCTTATATGATCACCTATCGGAATAAAACAAATCATAGTCATGAGCAACAGGCACACTGCAGCATTGTAATTGCATACAAAATGCATACATTAAGATTTAAGCTACCTGGTTTCAGTGAGCCTAGAGAGGTGATTCTAGTAGCTTTATATTTCAAAACCATCACTGAGTGAGATGATAATCAGTCACTGTCTCCTACCTATGCTGCTCACAATAATTAATTATATGGTATGTGTGGGGGCGTAAGACTAGTAAGGCGTGGTTTTTTGTGGGAGTGGCTCATTTGGCATTTCCAGAAATGCTAACTGTTCTCATCCTTTTCCTTATAATTCCAATCCTTATCTTCCTTTTATGGTACAGGTAAGAGCCTATTAGATGGTATCACGTGATCCTCTTCCTCCAGACACTATTATATTCCTTATAAGGTATTCAGTAGGTTAGGTATAGCCCATCCTCCAGTGGAGCCTTTCACTGGTAACGTTAATGGAATACTGAGACAGGTAATTTATTAATTAGTGGTGGGTGTGGTTAATAACTGTTGTTTATTAAGGGTATTATTGAGTCTTTAAATAATGATATCAAAAAATACGGTAAAGTATTTGGGTACGTCATGATTTACTTTAATGATCTTTAATTTTTTATGATTAAATAATAAAATTGTCAGTTATTATTGTTGTTTGTATCAAAATAAGTTCGTAAATATTAATTTTATATTTTGTTGCATTAGGTGGTACATTGGTACTGATAAATGGATGATTGTTGCTGATACAAACATGCTAAGAGAAATATTCATTAAGAGCTCGGATCACTTTAACCAAAGACCAGTTAGTGGTTAATCTTTTTTAAAATTTTATTTCTTTTTAGGATAGTCCTATTATTTCAATAGCACGGGATGATTTGCCCCCTGGACTGATATTTCTAAAGAAAGACGAGTGGAAGGTTATAAAACCAATAGTGACGCCATCATTCTCTGCTAAGAAACTGAAATTAGTACGAATAATAATGATAATTATTATTATTATTGTTGTTGTTGTTTTTGCTTTTTGTTTGTTAGATGTCACCTCTTATCGAGAGAAGCTGTTCTTCGTTGAAGGAGAGGTTTGCTGAAATATGTGAATCGAAGAAAAGTTCAGATCTTTTTGAGTAATAAACATCATCCATTACCTTTTCATATCTCCCCCTCTTTCTTTATTATCCTCCAGTGTGTTTGGCCAGTTTACAATGGAGACAGTGTTGGGAGCTGCTTTTGGTTCTCAAGTTAATGTATTAAAAGGAGAGGGAGACTCACTCACTGAAGCAGCTGCTGGGATGCTAGCTGAAGCAACTATCAACCAGTTACTATGGGGATACATCATTATGTGTAAGAATATTAAAATAAGGCTATGTTTATATATATTAAGAAAACAATGCAATCAGTAACGTGATAGAATCTTGATAGAACTCTATGGAACCGAAAACAGTCTTCAAAGTGTATCTTTTTAAAAATGATCCTTTTGCTTTGCTGTGTAAACCCACCCTAAGCTATTGATGAATAAAAATTATCTTCACCTGAAGACTTGATAATTGTTTTTGTGTCAACTGCTAACCACAACAATGGGACTAGGACTCCAGGAGGGGGCAACCCATGAGACCTTTTACAAATAACTGTGTATAAAAAGAAGAGGATTATTGTGTTCAGTCACATTCCGTTTGTGATGGTAGCGTAGTTAAAGCTGGTAAAGCTGGTAAAACAAATTTTTGAATGGGTTAATTCATATTAACCCTATGATTCTTAACTTGTAAATCAAAAGTATTAATATTAATTTCACCTCACAATGATTGAGTGATTGCCTGCCAATGATAGTGTTGTGAAGCTCTAAGTCATTACTTTAATTATTCACTAATATACGTTGTATTTAGTAAATAATCAATTACTAATCTTTTCTTATTTTCTTTGAATTAGCCCATTTCTCCAGTATCGTTAACATCCTATTAACAATCGGTAGTAGCCTTTACTCAACAAAACTTAAAAGGGGTTTTGCTTTCCTTGCCAAGTTTGGTTTTCGACTGATCAAGGAGAGAAGGCAAACAGCCAGCTCCCTCCAGGTAAAAGATTATGAAAAGTTACTTATTTGTTGCTTCTTACAGAATAAAGATTTCCTCCAGTTATTAATGGATGCCAGGTCCCCTCCTGAAGGAGGAGGAGCTGCCAGTAATAATGTTAAAGACTCGCTGAGTGATAAAGAGATTGTTGGACTGTGTATTGACTTTATGTTAGCCGGCTATGAAACCACTAAGAACACTATGAGTTACATCTCTTACCTACTAGCTATCAATGATGAGAAACAAGAGACTCTCTGTACTGCCATTGATGAATATTATCAGGAGAATGAGGTCATTAGATGCAATAATAAATGAATATATTACTGGTATTTCTTTATTAGTATGCTTCATTGTATGATGCTAGTCATGATATCCAGTATCTTGATTGGGTCGTTAGTGAAGGGCTCAGGATGTATCCACCTGTTTCAAGGTCTGTTAAAGTTTGAGTTGTTTTTGGCTAATTTTTTTTACTTATGACCAATTAAAAAATTGGCCAAATTCTGAAAAAATTTCTGTACTATAGCCTTTCCCCCCCCCCCCCAAAAATGGCTCCGAAATCATCCCCAATTTTTATTACATTTCTTGATATTTATATACTTACTTGGAAAAATTGCCTCCTGATCATTATTATTATTTATTATTATTATTTATTACACTAATTGTACAGAATTGTCAGAGATTGCTGTGATGATTGTGTCATTAATGGCGTCCAGTTCATCAAAGAGTCTAAAGTACAAGTACCAGTTCAGTACCTCCACTACTCACCCGAACACTGGGACCGGCCTGATGAATTTATACCAGAAAGGTAAAGTGATGGGTATATTATTCTATATTGCATAAAAGAATGTAGAAATGAGAGAGAGAGAGAGAGATTTTGAGACAATTTTGTAGTAGTACTAAGCCTGCAACTAAGTATAAATCAAGGTATAGATTAATTCTGCTGTGTTAATAAATTATATTAGTGTTATTAGTTCATTTTAATTAACTGTAGCTGCAGTTAATGTTGCAGTCAATCCTATACTCAATAATGAATATACTTCTCTATTGATCAATTCATTCCTAGGTTTAGTCCGGAGGGTAAAGAAGGACGGCATCCATTGTGTTATGTTCCTTTTGGGTATGGCCAGAGGAGCTGTATTGGAATGAGGTTTGCTCTCATGGAAATTAAAATGGCACTTACTGCAGTACTGAGGGACTTTAAATTTGAAATATCCAGCGACACACAAGTAAGAAAAACTACAGCAATAATAATAATAATAATTAATGATGATGATGTTTTTCTAGATTCCATTAAAATTGACTCAAGGCATAACCCAGTACCCAACTGATGGTGTCTACTTGAAAATAATTAAAAGATGAAGCTCAATTAGAATTTTAATTTTAATAATTTTTACAATTAAATGAATGCAACCAGTTTACATTATAATTTCAATGAATAATTTTAATATAATTAATATTGGGCGTGGTTTGTTGCCCACGTGGTATGCACGAGTGCAGTGCTGTCTCTCTTGTTAGCAGAAAAGTAAAAGTAGAAGAATCATGTTTTTAATCCTCATACTAGTATTTATACCGTCAGTCCTGCTATTAATATGGTACAGGTAAGCTCAGTATTCCTTTAATAACTAGTATCACGTGATCCTCTTCCTCCAGACACTATTATATTCCTTATAAGGTATTCAGTAGGTTAGGTATAGCCCATCCTCCAGTGGAGCCTTTCACTGGTAACGTTAATGGAATACTGAGACAGGTAATTATTAATTAGTGGTGGGTGTGGTTAACAGCTATGAATATTAATTAGGGTACACTGGAGTCAATGGAAAAAGGTGTTAGGGAAAATGGGAACGTGTATGGGTAAGAATTGTGTGTATTAATTAATGTACATGTGTTATGTTATGTGTCTATTTGCTGCTGTAGTTTCTACATTGGGATCAGCCGTTGGCTCGTTATATCCAATCTGGAAATTTTAAAAGAAATTTTTATAAAACGCTTCGACCAATTCCCCCAAAGAGCTGTAAATATGATAATAATTAAATATTGATTTCTATTGTCTGTAGGTGGAGCCATTTTTAATTGTGTTCTTTCGAGGCGAGATACCACCTGGTCTGATATTCATGGAGGATAAGCAATGGAGGGTTATAAAACCGATTGTGAGCCCGTCCTTCTCAAGCAGGAAGCTTAAAATGGTAATAACTAATCTTGTTTAGTCTACTTTTTAAATTATTTGTACTAGTCCACTTAGTTAATATGCAGCCAAATTCCCATACATAGAAACACTATAGAATCAGTTAATTTTTTTCTTTATTAGATGACTCCTTTAATTGAAAGAAGTTGTACTTCCTTGAACGAGAGAATGTCACAGATTAGTGAAACGAACAAAAGTTATGATGTTTATGAGTGAGTTACATGTACAGCTGTTTCTTAATTTCACTCCCTCTCCCCTCCTCCCTCTCTCTCCCTCTCTCTCTCTCCTCCTCTCTCTCTCCTCCAGTGTGTTTGGTCAGTTTACAATGGAGACAGTGTTAGGAGCTGCTTTTGGTTCTCAAGTTAATGTATTAAAAGGAGAGGGAGACTCACTCACTGAAGCAGCTGCTAGGGTACTAGCTGAAGTGGATATTAGCGTAATACTCTGGAACAATATAATATCATGTAATTAAATTATTATTATTACTTGTAAATCCCTGTACTATAGCCCATGGTTTTTCCCAAAAATTGGCTCCAAAATCACCTCAAATTTTTATTACATTTTCTGACACGTATTGATGTTCTTATGCTGTGTAGCAAGTTTGAGCTGATTCCGACTTCAATTTTTCGAGTTACGGCCATTTTAAGAAAATGCCAAAAATCTGGAAAAGTCCCTGTACTATAGCCCATGGAATTTCCCAAAAAATGGCTCCGAAATCACCCTAAATTTTTATTACATTTTCTGACACATATTGATGTTTTTATGCTGTGTAGCAAGCTTGAGCTGATTCCGACTTCAATTTTTCGAGTTACAGCCATTTTAAGAAAATGTCAAAATTCTAAAAAAATCCCTGTACTATAGCCCATGGTTTTTTCCAAAAAATGGCTCCGAAATTACCCCAAAATTTTATTACATTTTCTGATACATATTGATGTTCTTATGCTGTGTAGCAAGTTTGAGCTGATTCCGACTTCAATTTTTCGAGTTACGGCCATTTTAAGAAAACGCCAGAATTTAAAAAAATCCCTGTACTATAGCCCATGGTTTTTTCCAAAAAATGGCTCCAAAATCACCACAAATTTTTATTACATTTTCTGATACATATTGATGCCCTTATGCTGTGTAGCAAGTTTGAGCTGATTCCGACTTCAATTTTTCAACTTACGGTCATTAGGCGAAATTTAAGAGTTTTTTTTACATTTTTCTATTTTTAGCTCATTTTTCAGGATTGCTTGAGTTATTTCTTTCCTTATTTGGTGACTTCCTCTCAATTCCTGCAAAGAAACATTTCTCAGAACTGATACTAATCGGATATGAACTTATCAAGCAAAGAAGAGCATCTGAAGATCCTTCACAAGTAATGGAGGACCATGTACAGTATAGCCTCTCTTAATGGACACTCTCTATAGCGTACACCTCCATTTAACGGACAGCACCTAGTGTACCAATTACATTCCTTACTGTATAAAATAACCTCCACATAAAGGACACCTCTGTATAACAGAGACACTTTCTTGACCCCAGAATGTCCATTATATAGAGGCTACACCATACGAATGCACTTTATTTTTGTTTTATCTTATTTCTTGCAGAATAAAGATTTCCTCCAGTTATTAATGGATGCCAGATCCACTCCTGAAGGAGGAGGAGCTCCCAGTAATAATGTTAAAGACTCTCTGAGTGATAAAGAGATTGTTGGACTCTGTATTGACTTTATGTTAGCCGGCTATGAGACCACTAAGAACACTATGAGTTACATCTCATACTTACTAGCTAACAATGATGAGAAACAAGAGATACTCTGTACTGCCATTGATGAATATTATCAGGAGAATGAGGTAAGTAGAGATGATAATAATACTAGTATTTCTCTATTTCTTAGTATGCTTCACTGTATGATGCTAGTCATGATATCCAGTATCTTGATTGGGTAGTTAGTGAAGGGCTCAGGATGTATCCTCCTGTGACGAGGATATCCCGATACTGCAGTGAGACCTCAGTCATTAATGGGGTCACCATTCCAAAGGAAACCTGTGTACAAGTACCAGTTAAATATCTTCACTATTCACCCGAACACTGGGACCAACCTGATGAATTTATGCCAGATAGGTAAAGCAAGATAGTCAATACAAAATCCTCAATCATTGCACATACATGTATATACATACTGTCAGATCTAGAGGGAGTTTAGGAGACTTTTGGTCTCTCATATTTAACCTAGGTCTCCTTAATTGCCACACTTTTAGTTAGATTATTCTCTTAAAAGTTATTTCTGGATCTATAACTCTGATCATGATCATGAATGTTATGTTTATGTTGCTTTTATTCCTAGGTTTAGTCCGGAGGGTAAAGAAGGGCGGCATCCATTGTGTTATGTTCCTTTTGGGTATGGCCAGAGGAGCTGTATTGGAATGAGGTTTGCTCTCATGGAAATTAAAATGGCACTCACTGCAGTACTGAGGGACTTTAAATTTGAAATATCCAACGACACACAAGTATAAATAACAACAAAACTTATTTACTGTTGATTATTGTTGTTGTTTTTATTATTTAGATTCCACTAAAATTGAAGCAGGGTATTACGCAATACCCAGTAGATGGTGTTCATCTTAAAGTCGTTAAGAGGAAGTAATTAATGATAGCCACGCCTCCTAATTTAATATTCATTGATTGATATTTATTGTAGAGACAATTTTTCTTCAATTAATTATTATTGTTTATTGTCAGTGTTGTATTATATTTTAATTTCTAATCAATAATACTAATAATGATAATAATAATAACTAAATGTCTCCTATTATGTTTGTTATTTTTTTCCGTATTTGATTACATCGTCATACCACTTCTGTTCGTCTGGCGTCATCTCTAGAACCTGCAAAAAATTAAATAAAATTAAATTAATTAATGTATTAATTACATGAGGGGGTGGTGGGAGGTTACGTTCCCATTTAGTGCCTTCAGGAGCCTCTGGAGCTGAGAGAGAGAGGGAGAGAAAGAAATAAAGAAAATGTCATCTTTTATAATTAATAAAAACCCTATTTTTAACCCTTTAACATAATGTCCATGCACAATTGCAGATAACAATTCATTACATATACATGCAATAAGGATATGTACATTATTATTATTATTATTATTATTACATATATATGGGTCTGGGTGCTTCCTTCTCTCGAATTCTGCCTCTCCCTCTTGAAGCAGTTTCAATGCTATTGAGTGATCCACGTCTTTATTGGCATCAAACCTGTCCCTAAGCTCCAGGGCCTGTCTCCTCCAGAGTCTCCTGTCTATCGCCCAAGAGAGAAGGTGCTTTAGGCTCTTTCTGTATAAACGAGTCACATTTTGTGTATGAGTTAGCGCCGCCATTTTGAAAGGCGTGGTCAATAAACAAGCCACGCCCTTGGAAACAAAATGGTGGGTAATAAACTTGATTGTATTTTGTGATAAATTCTCTCTTTTAGGGTGGAACTAAAGAGTTTCCTTATCCTAAGTACGTTTGGTCTCCTTCAGGTGGTTGGTGGTGTAACCCCCGCCACTGGAGAAGGAACACTAACATTGGTTTGCTGATAGTTGTTCTCTCCTGCATACCAGTGGCTTACATCTCAGCTAAATTAGAAGTAAGCTCACGTGATCCTTTACACAAACAATACTATTGTTATATTCTCTTCTTTCAGAGAAGGCCAGTTGCTCCGTATAGACACATACCTTCACAGAGATGGTGCAAGTATGCCGAGGTAATTAATTAATTGATGGGTGTGGCATAGGGTGTGGTCTTACATTTATATATTTTTGCTGGTTGGTACTTTAAAACCATCACTTGACGTGATTGAGTGGAACGTGTGAATGTTTGAAAATGTTCTTTTTATTTCTTTTTCTATAGACCGATGATCCTAGCCTTCAAAAAGCTCATTAACTATTATTAGTGACATATTAGGATAAACATTGTGTACTATAATAATTATTATTATTATTATTATTATTATTATTATTATTATTATTATTATCTCTTGTTTGTCATTAGAGGTTTATGGATACAGTTCAATCTAATAGTCGATATTTAATGTTATTATTACATTGCAATCATTAATAATAGTTTGTCATGTCTAACGATCCTTACTACTACTAATAATAACATCTGTTGTGATAGTTCCAACATACATCAAACATGTACATGTACATGTACATGTACATGCATATTAAGTACATGGAACATACATACATGTATTTACTGCATGTATACATGTTTCATATATGGAGTGAGAATTTTGCTTAATAAACTGACAAATTTATCTAGCCCATTCAAGGGAATATACAATGATCAGCTTTGGATATTAATAGTATACTGTTAGTATATTATGCCGTTAGTGAATGCACTATAATTATGGTTGATAGTACACACCTTTATTTTCAAATACAGAATCAAGCAACTATTTTGGGCAGTGGCTGTTTATCTCTGGTTTATACTGAAGCATTTTGAAAGTTTGTTTAAAGTCACTGATTCGATATAACTGACAGTGAACGGCACTAAGTATATGAGTTATTTTTTATAATTAATAAAATAAATTATGACTAATAATAATAATAACAACAACACCAAATGATATAAACCAATTAGCATATATGTACATGGCATTTCATTGATCTATGCACTGTATGTATGTTACATGGCAACTTTAAACAAGCTAGACTAATCTAATGAAACTACAGTCTAATCAATAATAATGATTATAATAATGATTAAGAACTATTTGTACTGTTGTTTGGAAACATAATAGGAGAGAGAGAGAAAGGGAGAGAATTTACTTTTTTTCTGTCATTTTAAGAATGATACTAGTTACATTTTAATATATGAAAGGCACCAGTGCTTTTCTCTTTTCTGGATAATCTTTCAAATTATGATTGCACCATTTGTGATTCTGTCTAGCTCTTGGTATGAAAGTACTCAGAGAAAATAAGAACCAAACCAAACCAGAGAGGGACCATGTGAGAATAGACCAACCAAACCACTCGATAGCTTCTCCTAAGTAGTTAGGACAGGATATCAGATAGAAAGTGGCTGCTTTTGGTATTTGATAACTATCATCTTTATAGTCAGATCTCAGAGCTATTAGCTGTCCATCTGCTACTCGGTTTAGTATGAAACCAGTAATGAAAAACATTAACCCGATGATGAAACGTGGATCAAAGTAGTACCCATTGCAATACTGGGCCTCCCCAAGGAACTGAGCATTAACGAAGTGGAAGATAGTATTAACTAGTGTTGCTGCTACTGGTATCCACAGACTGACCTTCCTTTTTGCATGTCTGGAGGCTATCCCATCCACAATAGACCTATTGATGTAGTGTATGATGAATAGACAGTACATTACTATGTTTGATGGACGGTTGAAGTTTCTCTGTAAGAAGTACGTTAGTGAGAATATTAGAATGCCTGGAATGAACTGAGATATTGCAAAAGAGATTCTTGCTGGTACGCGTGGAAATATCCCAATTTCTTTATCATGCCTCCCATATGGTATAGGCTTTAAGAACTGGAGTATTATATTAATGAGAGAGAGTATCAAACAGATCCCCACTAGCCCCAGATGGATCCACAGCTGTATTCTGTCATCCCTGGTTCTTGTGATTGGATTAATGGGAGAGAAGGGATTGTCTGGGAACAAGATATATGGTATTCCATGGAATATACTGTAAGACTGAAAACAGGTCTCGTTACTGGGAGAAGACATTCCTGCCTGCTGTTTGCTGCTTGCTTGAGCTCCTTCTCTGCTCTACTGATTGTGTGTGGGCGTTCATGCATTGGTATGCAAGTAGACCGTATTATAGAGTCAAAGTTCTAATTATTCGAATCACAGGTAAAATTATACAAACACCACGCCCATATTTTCTAGTTGGATTCATTTCTGAAGCTTTGGAGGAATTTTGATTTATTTCTTTCGGTAAAGGATGACAGAAGAGAGCAAGTATGGAGCCTCAATGGCTATACTTCAAAGATACCTAACCCCTGACGACAGCAACTGTAAGAAGAGTGGATCCATGATAATTAAATTAATATTAATATATTTTTAATTTTCAGCTACTAATACCAACAGTTCTGGATTTGGTGGTGAGTCTACAAGTACCTGTGGAGTCCAATTTTAATTGATTGTAGCATTTTAAACAAATTTAACGAGAGATCTTTAAAAATGCGAAATTAAATTGGCGCATAAATTAATACCATTTAATTTTATTATTATTATTATTATTATTATTAATAGATGTTGATCAGAATATTAATATACTCCTGGCTAAGATCAGTATTAAAGATGGAGAGAAAGGTTCTTCATCAACATCAAGAAGAGTCAGACATCTTAACGACCTTGCAAAAGTAATAACAATAATAACAATAATAATAATAATAATAATAATAATAATAATAATAACAATAATAACTTAACTATTATTAATTGAATTCTTAATTAGGTGATACGTCATATTGGTCCTAATGCTCAGTTTATGATAACAAACGCAAGAAGAATAATTGAAAAGTAATGGAGGGAGAGAGAGAGAGAGAGAGAGAAGGAGGCCATTGTTCATCTCTTTTCTCTCTCCTTTCCCCCTCAGTGTTAAGCTGGCCTTGCTCAGTCATGTTAAAGAAGTCCGGGCTGGGTCTTTAAGAGTGCTGCGCTATATTCTCTCTTCGTCACAAAATTATGAAATCATGTTAAGTATTAAGATTGATCATCTCGTGGCGAGATCACTTGATTCACCACCTCAGAGAGACATAGAGAGGCTACAGGCCATGAGGTTTGTACGACAGGTGAGCTAGTAAGACTCAGTATACTCCTGTATATTCTAGTATATAATGTACACGTACATGCTCAGTATATTCCTGTATATTATCTAAATTCACATATAGAGTATTTTAGTATTATATTGGTCAATAACGACTCCAGTATATTAATAGTATATTCCAGTATATTATCAGTAATCTCCCCCACAGGTACTCCTAGTCTGTCCTTCATTAATATCCAGGTCACTAGTGGCTCCTCTGATGTCTATAGTCAGTTCAGACACTGAAGTACCACTGGACAATATAACCTGGGCAGCACTGGCTACACTGTGTGAAATAGGTATGTACATGTACATATACATATGTACATGTACATGTATATGTACCGTATAGCTTGAAATTTTCGTGGAATGTAAATTTCGTGATTTTCGTGGTTATGGGGCTGCCCACGAAATTTAAACCCACGAAATCATTGAAGTGCCATCCCCTTACAGGCTATGTAAACTGTCAACCATGAAAATTAAACCACGAATTGCCCCACTAGGAGCAAACCACGAAAATATCGACCCACGAAAATATCAAGCTATACGGTATATGAATGTGTACATGTACATGTATGTGTAGGGAGAACTAATGTGTAATGGGTGTTTCATGTATTGTGTAGAAAGAATGGGGTATTATGTTGTAGTTATGTACATGTACATTCTTATTTAATGTTGCATGAATTATATTTATTTATTAATTCTTATACTAGCACTGACTAATATTAATCTCTCGTCACACTGTGGTATCATTAAAGTACTGGTTAGAGGACTGCTGAAATGTCAGGTAGGAAACAAGAAGAGAGTGTTTTATTATTATTATTATTATTGTTGTTGTTGTTGTTGTTTAGAGTCCTGAGATAAGTGAGACTGTTATACTAACACTGTGTCATCTATTGAACCACCCCAGTACCAGAAAGCATGTAAGAACACATCTTGATATTGAGGTAAGGACACACGGTACACTATTAGTTCTATACTGCAGTTTATAGTACACTGTAGTCATTGGTTACTGTATAGTCATTGGTTACTGTATGTGTCTCATTCTTAGGGTGTGCTGGCTCCAATAACTGACCTTCACTTTAGCTTTCATACTAATGATAATACCACCACTGATATAAAGTAACCATTCATTTATTTATTAATTATTTTATTTATTTATTCATTTATTTATTATTTTATTTATTTATATTAGAAGTGACAGAGATAAGAGAGTAGAATCAGCTAAGATATCAATAACAGCATTGCTGAAATCATGGCCGGGTACATGTGTATGAAATACTGTGACTATTATTATTGTTGTTTTTGTTTTTATTGTTTTAGGTTTTTTATTGTTACTTAATCCGTCAATTAATGGAATATCAACAATAATTAACATGTTACCTTTGACTGAACCCTATATACAGGTAATTAATTAATTAATTAATTAATATTCATCATTATAGTGGATAGTATATTGTACCAAAAATGGCTCTGAAATCGCCCCTAATTTTTATTACATTTTCTGATACATATTGATGTCCTTATGCTGTGTAGAAAGTTTGAGCTGATTCCGACTTCAATTTTTAAAGTTACGGCCATTTTAAGAAAACGTCAAAAATCTGAAAATTACCCAAGGCTATAGCCCATGGTTTTTTCCAAAAAATGGCTCTGAAATCACTCCAAATTTTTATTACATTTTCTGATACATATTGATGTCCTTATGCTGTGTAGCAAGTTTGAGCTGATTTCGACTTCAATTTTTCAAATTACGGCCACTTCAAAAATGGGCCAAATTCTGAAAAATCCCTACACTATAGCCTTAAAATGGTTCCATATACAGTACATGTATTTGATGCCATTTCTATTGTACAATATTATTATCATTATTATTATTATTATTATTATCTACAGAGACAGATCCTTGAGATACTCTATAGTTCCTTTCATTTGAAGATCCCTCAGTGGACTGATGACTATAGGATAGCTATTGCTAGTGTTGGTAAGATACTGGTTAATTAATTGATGGGTGTGGCTTGATATTTAATTAATGAGGGTGGCCTATTAATATTTTAATATACTTTTTACATCTAGCTAAATTAAATTTTACTTTAACATAAAACAAAGGAAATACAAAAAGAATTAGCAACATGTACATGTACATAAAATAAAAATGAGACTGTTTTACGGATTCTTCATGTCCGAGAAAATTTTTTTTCTGTAACACTTTCTCGTGAAACAAATTTTACTGGCTCGAAACTTTGGTACTACTATATAGTACTAAATATACAATGTATGTATGTATGCATAAAAGCAGGTCAATGTTGTTGATGGTTTATCAGAGACACTTCCAAAAACCCATGATCTCCATCTTTAAGCATAACATTCACATCATCCATCCTTAAAGTCTCTGGTACTGCTCCAGCCTGATAACTAAATGGTGGTGTATCAGAACTTGAAGGCAGCTGCTCCTCAGAGTTTGCTTGTATGCTTAGTGTAGCTTCAGTAGGTTCAGTATATTCTGTTAAAGGAGATTCATGTATTGGTGGCTCCATTATTTCTATATCATTGGGTAAAGCTGTAGGACCTCTGGGCTTACCCATTGACTCTTCTACTTTGATTGGAGTAGCTACATTAAAAAGAGAAAAAGCAAATTATTTTATTAATAATACCATTATACAGAATTACCTTCATCATTGACTGATTCTAATCGACCCAAAGGGAGTGATCTGGCAACTATAGCCATAGTTGGCGTCCTACATGTATAGCTTGTGGTTATCAGTGATGATGTCTTCTCTTTATCACCAAATATGGGCACAGCAGATCGACTAGTAACTGTTTCTCTTCGCTCAGGAGTCTGGTATTGTTCAGCTTGAGATATGGAAGAGGTTACCAAAGGATTAGTAGTAGCAGCAATGGGAAGTGACACTTCACCAGTAGTCACTTCATCATTGTTCAGTTGAGACTCAGCTATTGCTGTGACTATAGTATCACTATTATCAGTTATTATTGGTTCTTCATATGCTTCTTCAGCACCTTCTCCTAGTGTTGTAATAGACTAGTATTGTAATCAAAGTGATAATAATAATTAATAAAAATGATTTTATTTTGCTGAGTTAGCAATGCTGAGTCTGCTGTTAGCAAAAAATACTGTATTTATCCTTTTTAAAAAATCCTTTATGAGCTGTTTCTAATAAAGCAAACCTAATTCTATGACATTTATAATACCTGATGAATGGCAAAGAATATGCCATTTTAAAGAAAAGGGTTTAACCCTACACTAATGATCCAGCATATTCTTATATATTCTACATATTCTTAGTATACATGTACATCTACTTACTACTGTGGTTCTTGGAGGAGCAGCAGCCCATGGCCTTTAAGAAATGGTCAGCTAAGAAGTGGTCTTTAAACTTCTAGTCTTCCTCTTGCTAGTCTTCTTTCCAATAGTTCAAACTCATCACATGACTCCAGTGTTAGTATTCATTGCAGGTCACACTTCAAAGGTCATGTCCAGGTACTAATATGGCAGCTGCTGCTTGAACTTGCTGTGTGTATTGATCACCATAAGATGAATCCTCTTGAGCTTGTCTTGAATATTAAGCAGCAATGCCTCCAGGATCATGCTTAAAATTAAATTGAATTCATTATTCTCTATACATGTATGTACATGTAGGCGTGGCTTAATGCAAGCTGGCATTTAATAAATATTCATCACATCATTATTCATTACTCTATTATAAGTATGGTGTACAGTTACTTGTATATGTTTTTTAATTTTTTAGATTTTTCTCACAGTTACATGTACATGTACAATAGTTCATACATGATGATACATTATTATTTATTGTTCATTATAGACCCCACCCAGTATTCTCAGGACTGGTCGTTAGAGGCAGGGTGGGTAGCTGAAGAGGGTAAGTCCCTCCTTCCTCCTAAAGTGATGGAGCGTGTTGATCTCATGGGTTGCTACCATGCTCTGTTACTCACCTGTCTATTGAAGGCTGGGTTCTTCACATCGCTGGTGGAAGTGGTTAAACTACCTGATCAACACATAGCTGTAATGACTGCTGTACTAATGGGGCAGCTGCTACATATGGTAAGACATGTATCTATAGTGGGAAATTTTAGAGGGATTAAAATTTGGCAAATTGCTAAATTTTGGATGATTGGCAAATTTTAACTTGGCGAATTTGTGGCAACGTGCCATTGAGCATGTGTATAATGGCTCATAATGGTGGATTTCATTTTGGTGAATGGCTATCAAAATGCCAAATTTGCCAAATTTAATTCCCTCCAACATTTCCTACTATACAGTACATGTATACTTTTATACTCTGTATATGTGTGTGTGTGTGTGTGTGTGTGTGTGTGTGTGTGTGCTAATTGTAGTATTGTTAATGTATTATGGTACATGTACATACTAGTGATGCTACATTCATATGTACATGTACATGTATAGTTTAATGGAGGCTAAGTTATGTTCATCTTTGTGTTGTTCCTTAGGCTAATTCTATTCTTCCTCCGGAATATTTTTGTTTTTCTTTGAAATTGCCCGACCTCATAGCAGCTGCAATGTCACCTGATGAACAGGGAGAGAGAAAGTAAACAAATTTATAAACAAACAAATTATTTTATTATTATCATTATCATTGTTGTTGTTGTTGTTGTTATTATTATTGTTGTTGTTGTTATTATTATTGTTGTTGTTTATTTCAGTCGTGCTTCAGAAGTAATAAATTGTTTGGATCGTATCCATCAAATGAAGAAACAGCCGGTCAAACCATCCAGCCTCTATCTTAAACTAACACTAGAACAAGTAAAATAAAATAAATAAATAAATAAAATAAATAAATAAATTAATTAATAAATTAAATAATAAATAAATTAATGATATTCTTTCTCTACCTTAGGCTGGTTATTTTTCAGGTAAAGGTAGAAGTCACAATAACCTCATGCATAATGTCCACATATCCAATGTAAGTGTATGTGTATGTATTATGAATGTATGGGGCTCATATTCATTCATTCATTTATTTATTTTATTTATTATATTTATTATTTATTTTATTTTATTCACAGGAGATGGATGACCTCACTCTACAGTCTCATATTCGTGATACCCTGGTACTGACTAACCCGAGGGAGTACCCCTCCTGGGACTGGAACCTCATACTATCACTGCTTCATGTGAGTGGACACTGCCAGTAATAATGAATGAACCCTCCTCTAGCAATATAGTATTAATAGTATTTATTTATTTATTTGTTTATTTATTTTTCTATTTATTTATAATTCTATAGCATCCTTATCTCTACACTGTGTCCCTCACTGAAGAGAGTAACTGTACCAAGTAAAAGAGAGAGAGAGGGAAGGAGGGAGGGAGGGAGGGAGGGAGGGAGGGAAAGAGAGAGAGAGAGGGGGGGGGAGGAGAAGGGGAAAGAGTATATCTTTATAATTTTTATCTTTTTTGTAGGTTTTTACGCAGTTTGACTAATTTCTTCAAGCCTAGCTCCAGACAGTATTCATCCATTGTCTATTCATTGTCTAACAGTAAGAAATACTCGTCTGTTGGTCTTCAGCTTATCAAGTACCTGAGCAAAATGGAAGGAGTAAGAGTTATTAATAGTTATTAGTAGTTATTAATATTGTTTTATTAATAGATTGGGTGTGGTTTATTGCAGATTCTTATTAAAGACATCGTTGACCAACTAGGACAAGTAAATGAAATTAATATTTCAACATCTACTACATGTACATGTACAGTATAGCCTCTCTTAATGGACACTCTCTATAGCATACACCTCCATTTAATGGACAGCACCTAGTGTACCAATTACATTCCTTACTGTATAAAAGAGCCTCCACATAAAGGACACCTCTGTATAACAGAGACACTGCCTTGCCCCAAAATGTCCATTATATAGAGGCTAGTCTGTATACTTTATCTTTAATAATGCTTAAATATAGATTATTATATAGAGGCTACACTGTATTATGATGCCTATTTCTCTCAATGAGTAGGTTACTGCTTCTAAGGTTACAGCTGATGTTTTCTCCCCCAGTAGTGTCTCTCATAAAATGTCTCGTGATTATTTCCTACTAATTGGTGCAGTTTCATTCCACAACAGTTCATTATTGTACAGCCTTGGGGCATATGGACCGTAAGAGAGAGATAGAAAGAGAGAGAAATAGAATAAGATTATAAATTTTTAACTGTTACATGTACATGTATGTATACATACATGTATATAATTCATTTTTCATTGTGTGTGTACTGGTTGTAGTGTTTTGGCTGTATTCCAGGCTAAATCTAGTAATTTTAACTTTTTATTTAGTTTTAGTTCATAGATATCAATACATGTATGTTATATGCACATCACTTCAAATGATCCACTCATTAAAGTCACTACAATCAGTAGACACACTAATAGTGGATAGACTGATATACATTGTACCTTTCCTCCCCCACAGTATTCTTGATATTTGCAGTATCACTAGTAGACATGATCTCCACAAGTTGATAATATCATCACTTGACTTCTCTCATGATAACTATTCTAAGCCAATCCTACAGAAACTGCTTAATGGGTCTGATGGAGTAAGCCACTTATTATTATTATTAGTAGTAGTAGTAGTGCATGCATTATTATTATTATTATTACTGTATATTGGGAAATTTTGGAGGGACTAAAATTTGGCGAATTGCTAAATTTTAGTGATTGGCAGATTTTAATTTGGCAAATTGGTGGCCATGTGCCATTGAACATGTGTATAGTGGCTCAAAATGGCAGGTTTTATTTTGGCGAATGGCTATCAAAACGCCAAATTTGCCAAATTTAATTCCCTCCAAAATTTCCCGCTATACGGTATTATTATTTAGTAACGCGGTAGCGTTACTAAGTAGGATTCACCCCCAAACAAAATGGCTGCCACGACTTTTGCAGCCTTGCTTTATTATTACTATTATTATTATTACATGTATGTGTGCTGGTACATGTATTATTATTAAGTTAAGAAATTGTAATACTAATAAACCATTTACATGTACATGTATATGACAACTCATAGCCATTAAGTGTAATGTGAAACTATTATGTGTTAATGTCACCATTACTATTGGTTGCTATGGAAAAGTTTTCATGGAATCTATTCATTGTGTACTATCATAACTTCCTTTAGTTACAAGATCTTGAATACCCAGAGTGAGAATTGCTTGTGTGGGAAGACTATTACAATTGTAAGGCGTGGTTTAGGATGAAATAAATCCTGGCCGCCATTTTGGTTGGCAACTTTCAATGGAGAAGCAACAGGCCGACATAAAAACAAACCTATATTAAGAATTCTGGAGCAAATTTGACCAAATCCTTGACAGGAGAAGCTTAGAGGCAGCTGTTCTTTCTTATAACAAGCGCTTTTTAGCTATTGATAGAGCTACAGCAGGTAAGTGACAATCGTGCCTCCATTGACTTCCTTAACAAACTTGCCAACCAAAATGGCAGCCAATTATAATGTGTGGGCGTATACCACCATATAAAATTAATGAAATTCATAGCTTTTGCAATTCTCACTCTGGGTGGTCCATATGACAACCCATAATCATTAAGTTCAATTTGAAACTATTTTGTTTACTACTGGTTGCTATGGAGAAGTCTTAATGGAGTCAATTCATTATGTACTATCATAACTTTCTTTAGTCACAAGATCTTTGAATATATTTTTAAGGTGACGCCCACTTTTTGTTTCTAGCTGACCTTCTTTAGCTGCCTTCCTTTCTTCTCTACCCTTGTTTTTATTCTTGTTCATTCTGACTTCTTCATTTTCTTATTGTTCTTTTTTGCTCTATCTTCATTTACCGTATTCTACCTTTATCTCTCTTCATTCTTTGTTCTTGCTTTACGTACACAATTTTATTTTTTTCTTGAAATGGCAACCAAACCATCTTTATCTTCTTCTCCTGGTCTCCTCAAACTGGAGGAACAGCTCACCTGTCCTGTGTGTCTTGACCACTATACCAACCCTAAGACTTTACCTTGTCTACATTCATTCTGTGAGCACTGTCTGGAGGGATTACCTCTGGATAAGAAGAATAAGCCATATTACCTCTCTTGTCCCACTTGTCGTCATTGTACAGAGTTACCAGAAGAAGGAGCAGGAGCCTTTCCTGTAGCATTTCATATAAACAGCCTCAAAGAGATATACAGTCTAATGAAGAAAGTAGCTGATCCTGAACAGGTCACCTGTGACAACTGTATTACAGCTAATTCCACTGGATACTGCAAAGACTGCAGTAAGTTCCTTTGTACAAAATGCGATGGAATACACAAGCAATGGGGCCCAACTTCTAACCATCAGTTGACAAGTCTTGATGAGATGACAGCCTCTGATGTCTTTTCTACTTCTCAATTGCTAGCTCCAGCTAAACAGGAGGCAACCCTCACTTGCTCTGTACCTGGTCATGATGAGCCATTGAAGTATTACTGTGACACATGTGATGAATCTATCTGTCGTGACTGTATCATAGTCACTCATAAAGATCACAAGTATAACCTAATAGCTAATAGTTTTACTAAACACAAAGAAGCACTGGAGAAATCTCTTAATCCAGTGAAAGAGAAAATTGAAGGACTCAAGAAGGTCTTGTCTGCTCTAGTAGAGAGAGAGGGTGGGATCAGAGAGAGAGGAGAAGGAGTCTTAGAAGAAATACATGAAATGGTAGAGGAAATGGTGAATGTTCTTCGTGAGTCAGAGAGGAAACTGACTGAGCAAGCAAAGAGGGTCACTGATGCTAAACTAAAGGTGCTGTCAGAGCAAATGAAATCAGCAGAAATGAGTTTGAGTCTTTTGGAGAATGTTGAGGATTATGTGGAACAGAGTCTGAAGACAGGCAGTCCTCAACAAGTCCTGAGGTGTAAGAAACAGATGATGGAGCGTATGAGTGAAGTTACTGGAGGGATGAATGTGGAGGAGTTACATCCAAAGGAAAAGGCCGATTTTGTATTGAGTAAAGATATCAAATCGCTACATCACATTGGAGATATTGTTTTACTACAGCAGTATAGAGTGAAGAAAATTGATCATGTTACATGTGCTGGCAAAGCAGTTTCGTTTTCACTATCAATGGAGGCACCAGATTCATCTGTTTTGTCTGTTCCCATCTCTTCTCTGAAGTGTAGTCTAGTACCAGTTGGTAAAGGTGATGAACCCATTGACACTACAGTCACTACCACCAGCACTGATCCTGGAGTGTATAGGATACAGTGTAACCCTTCAACCAGTGGTACTCATACAGTAAAAGTACAAGTATATGATGTAGACCTTGAGGATACCTCACTAGTCATCCCTTTCAATCCTTACCTTGATAACATCACTCCAGTACGTACTATAACTCAGCTTGATTGTCCCTGGGCAGTTGCTGTCAGTGATGATAATCATGTTATAATAACTGAGTTTAGTGGTCATTGTGTAACAATACTGGATAGAGAAGGAAAGAAAGTGAAATCATTAGGAGGGGAAGGAGGAAGTGGTAATGAGTTTATTTTTCCAAGTGGTGTAGCCATTACTCCAGACAAATTTATTCTTGTATCTGGTAGTAGCAGCATCCAGAAGATAAGCATGGATGGATACCTTGTAGCAACAGTCAGTGAGAAGGGCATTGGACCACTACAATTCAGTACTCCTGATGGTATAGCCATTTCTCCTATAACAGGACAGGTTTATATTGCTGATAGTGGTTATCATCGTATACAAGTCTTGAATCCTGATCTAACCTTCTCTCATTCATTTGGTAGTAAAGGATCAACTAATGGACGGTTTCAGTCTCCACGTGACATTGCTATTGACAGTCAAGGATTAGTGTATGTTGCTGATCAGTGTAATCATCGCATTCAGAAGTTCTCTCCAGATGGAAAGTTTGTTGGTCAGTTTGGTACTGAAGGATCTGGTCCTGGACAACTTGACTGGCCAAATGGTATAACAATAGACACTGCAGCTACTGGTCTAGTGTATGTTAGTGAGAATGGCAATCATCGTATATCAGTCTTCACTAGTGATGGTGTGTTTGTTAGGAAGTTTGGAAGTGTAGGCAGTGATATTGATCAGTTTAGTGCTCCTTATGGATTAGCATTAGATAAAGATGGATTATTGTATGTTTGTGATTTTAGTAATAAGTGTCTTGTTGTTTATTAGTTATTAATTATTTCTTTTATATTGTTAATGATCATTATTAGCTAATTATAATACTGATACAGTCACTGGTATGTGTACTGAGAATACACTCAACATAACTTCAATAGCACCGCAATATCCTAATAACTAGGAGAAGAAATTATTTCTTTAAGATGTGTTGAATCAATAATGTAGTATGATGCATGAAAAAATAAAATTATTGTTATTAAAATTGTTATTACTTTCACACATCATATTCCTAATATGCTATCTTCCATATCTTATTCACCATTGCAATTTTTTGACTATAAACCTAACTTGACACTAGTAGCTGGTGAATTGAAATTCATTATGTACTATCATAACTTCCTTTAGTCACAAGATCTTTGAATATATTTAAGGTGTCGCCCACTTTTTGTGTCTAGCTGACCTTCTTTAGTCTTTCTCTCCTCCTTCCACCTTCTTCATTTTGTTTTGTTGTTTCATCTGGTCATTAGGACTCTCTCTCATCACTCATTCACTCCCTTCCCTTCTCCTCCTCCTCCTCTACTTTGTTTTACATTCTCATTCATTAATGTAAATTCACCTTTACTACTGGTTGTTATAATAAAGGAATGTACTATCATAACTTCCTTTAGTCACAAGACTATAGAATATTCCAAGAGGTCATCAGGGCTATCTTTCCCCAGGCTACTCTCATTCTTGTTCATTCCAACTTCTTCATTTTCTTATCGTTCATTCTTGCTCTATCTTCATTTACCATCTTCTACCTTTATCTCTCTCTTCATTTTTCATTCTTGCTTTACATACACAATTTTATTCTTTCTTGAAATGGCAACCAAACCATCTTCATCTTCTTTTCCTGGTCTCCTCAAACTGGAGGAACAGCTCACCTGTCCTGTGTGTCTTGACCACTATACCAACCCTAAGACTTTACCTTGTCTACATTCATTCTGTGAGCACTGTCTGGAGGGATTACCTCTGGATAAAAAGAATGAGACCTATTACCTCTCTTGTCCCACTTGTCGTCATTGTACAGAGTTACCAGAAGAAGGAGCAGGAGCCTTTCCTGTAGCATTCACTCTCAACAACCTCAAAGAGATATACAGTCTAATGAAGAAAGTAGCTGATCCTCAACAGGTCACCTGTGACAACTGTACTACAGCTAATGCCACTGGATACTGCAAAGACTGCAGTCAGTTCCTTTGTACAGAATGTATCTTTATGCCCAAGAAATGGGCTCTTTTTGCTAACCATCAGCTTACAAGTCTTGATGAGGTGACAGCCTCTGATGTCTCTTCTACTTCTCAATTGCTAGCTCCAGCTAAACAGGAGGCAACCCTCACTTGCTCTGTACC